ACGTAGTCGGATACCTTAAGTGGCATCAATAATAATTAAATTTGACATGGATACTCTTTTAAAAATAAGATAACAAATTTCAAAGCATTTAAGAAAAACCGAAATTTTGTAGTTGTTGAAAACATTGATGATTTTTAGGCCTGCTGATGAATTAACTCTTACCAGTATCAGCAAACTTTATCTATCTTTTTTATGCCGGTTTATCCATTGGGCTCTAGGCCGGGTTCCCAAGGGCTTGAACAATCTACTTAACCAGGTTTTCTGGTAATAAATTTCGATCCTCCCGTGCCAAGGGGGCATGTAGATCTTTTGCACCCAGGGCCTGAAATGAGCTTAATTCGGCACTGTTTCGCTTAAGATTATTATATAAGTTAAAAAGTTTTGGCTGTATTTTTCAACACAAAACACTGAGAGTTTTTGAGATTCCTCTTCTAACTGAGTTTGCATATTCGAAAGAATCTGTTACAGAAGTGTCATCAATACTGTACTGAAATTAATTGATTGATCAGACAGATCTTACGTTTTTACAAAGATAATTTTTGTTTTAATTCGTTAAATATTATGTGAGAAATTAAAAACGAGGAGGAGCATTCACAAGAAAGTAAGTTTCTCTCAGGCTATAAGTATTAACTGAAAATAATTTCCTACAAACATTCATTGGAATTGATACAGCAATATTTCAACTACTTTTTATATGCTATAAGAAACGCCGAGTCACATCACAACGTATTATATACTTGCTATAATCCCAGTCCACCTTCAAAGACTGAAGCATGCCTGATTGGCGTTGGTACGTCTGCAATACCTGAATGAAGATATATCTAATGGGGAAAAATGTTCACATACTATTGTATAACTGCAATGTAATTTCATTTCAAATTATATTCTTTGCGTTTTCTGTAATTTTTAAAAATTTTCAAGAAATGTACGTTTTAACGTATTTAAATTAAATAATTATTTCTTAGTTACACTCTTATACGTTTCAATCTTATACATTTCATTGAGTTAGTAAAACACATTTATTGAAAATTATAAATTTCCCAATCGTTATTTCATTAGTTATGTTAGAATGCGTATTCTTGTTCTAATGGGAAATAAAGAATTTAAATAAAGGATGTTTTTTAAAACTCACGAGAATATAAAAATTTAAAGGGTGATAAGAAACAACCATACAATGTATACAATACAGCGTATAGCGGTGCTCGAATGGAAAAACCACAAGTTTACCGTGGATTTCAGAAGGCATTACGACATGCAGTAACCAGGAAAAGGCGGACATGCATTTTCTGTATGGTCTTGCGAATGGGAATGCTCTGGAAGCCAAAATTTTGTATAGGAAGCATTTCCTGAGAAGACACATGTCAGACTGAAAATTGTTTGAGCTATTACACTTGTGCCTGTGTTAAACGGGATTTTTTTGTCACCAGCATGCATGATACAGAGCGCAGCAAGGGTGTGCGGACTCATAAGTTGTAGAGAACATTGGAGTGAAAGATCACCGAAATATTAGCACACGAGAGGTTTCCTGTGCCGTAAATGTAAACACACTCGATTATTTGGTGCCAGATCTTTTGAACAGTCTCTGTAATTTTGCCGCAATAAAACTATTTAGTACCTGATCTGTTTAGCGTATAGTTTTTTTCATGTGAAACAAATACCTCCAAGCGGTTCACCGTTTGTTCTCCCTCACGAGTTGTTCGGTGAAAATTGCCAGTTTAGATATTGCCTATCACACCTTAAATTTTTGCTCATGAGTTTTGAAACACCCTGTATAAACGGGGAGTTGTATAAATAAAAAGAGGGGAAAAAGAAATACTTTTAAGTAAGATTTCTGACTTGCGTTGACAGGGCTTTTGGAACATTTTGTGGGTTCTTAAGAAATTTTAGTATTTTTTACGTTGGTTGGAAGGCAAAATATTAATTATCATTCACGTTTATCGTTTGGTACTTGTTTAATAAAAAGAAGTGACGTTCTCATACTCACCGGCTCATCCAACCTGAGGGGTTGTCTCATATCACCTGATATTATTTTCATCATGGGCAGCAGATCCATTGCGTACCGGCACATGGGTCCTGTGCTGATCATCTGGCGAACAGCCTCGTTGACTACAGGGTATTGATTCCCATTTGAGACAGCCCCTTTTATAAATTGGAAAGAAACATACACAATTATTGACTGCATGAGTAAAATTTCAAATTTGGATCTAGAAATCCCTCATTTTCGAGTTCTGTATACTTAAGATGACTGCTATGTCTGGAACGGGGATTTTGAAATAGCGCATGAATGAAATTTTTCTTCTTTTATATATATTTAGAGTCGTTTGAGTCAAATTATACACATAAAATTGTTTTAAGAATATTATTGCAATAAAAATTTATTTAAATGCAGTTTTTTGGCAAAAAGTGAAGAAGGAATGACATCGGTTCAAAACATTCTCCTTTTACGAAAAATGCTTCTATAGTAAAGATATTTTGGTTACATACAGCTACAATTTCTGTAGAGAGCTTGAAATAGGATTTTTGAAAAATTCAGATTATTTTCGGAGTTACTGTCATTTGATATAATAACCAGTGTTTTTGTTATAAAGAATTTTCTGGTCTGATATATTGGAATAAAAATAAATTTACTTCTAAATTAAATATTTCAAAAATCATAGTTCAGAAACTGTACGTAAGTCTTAGGTTATATATATAGGTATTACTATTTAAAAACAATTTTCATAAATGAAAAATATTTTGAAAATATGTATTTTTTTGCCAAAAAATTGCCTTTGAATAATTTTTTTGCAATAGTATTCTTAAAATTTATAACTATTTTCTAATTTAAATGTCAATAAACATAGAAAAAATTACCTATTTAATCACTTTTGCAAAATCAGGATTCCAATAGTAGTAAATGACTTTAAGATTCATCATTCACAATAAAACAAAGAACTCGGCATCGTTGTAAATATTTCATATGCTTCGTTTGAAGCATTATTTTTAAAAAAAAGAAACATTCACATTCATAATTAAAACGTTTAAGTATGTCAATTTAATAGTCCTTAAATGTAATTAATGTGCCAATAATGCTTCTAAAGATATTGCTAATGAGAATTATTTATAAGGATCAAATAAAAACAAGCACTTAATGCTATTTTTACGCACTTTATTTGTGTATCTGATTTGTTGATATTCTCATTCTTCATTGTAACTTTGAATGCTAAAAGAAATTATTTTAGAAAAAACAGCAAATGTGTGTGTGTTTAGTAAAAACAGTTAATCCTTACGATATAGAACACTGACCCATAATTAGAGCCTAATAAAAAAAGACAATCATATCTTTTGCAAAACGAAAGGTACATTTGACTACGTTTTTCATAACAGCGTTCAGCTGGTTGTTATGCGTTGTAATCCGTAACTGTGTTTGAAACTAGTTCTATATTGAAATTTTTATTTCACACAAAAAAATATTTGAATCGTTAAGCTTCCAGATTACAGTTACGTATCAGTTTATAGTCTTTAAAATGAATTTTTAAGGAAAACTAAAAAAATTCTAGATACAATTAACAACTTTTTTTTCAAATTACAAGCAAATGTATGCAGTTATATTTTTATGTGCTTATCATTTGCATTTCGAATTATCAAATACAAAAATGAGTTATTCCTTTTATGCAAGAGAAAATCACATTAAATTCACTGTAGTTGAGCGAGAGAACATTAATTCCTGGATGAAATTTAATAAGAAATTTTTACAAACGGAGGATTGCAAATGTGAAGATCCTTTACCAGCGTTTATTGTCAAGTGGGATAAATAAAAGCTGACGTTTCTTAAATTTTGATTAATTCTCTTATTTCTTACATGATGTAAGTAGATTTAATTTATTAACATTGGCTTAGAATCCTTAATTTCGAAATAAAACTATTAGATTTATTTTATAAGCAACTATCTGTTTTTTTCATTATACTATTAGTTCACTCTGTCCCTGGCTTTGTAGGGTTGTACAACGGAACTCGTTTTTCAACTTGATTTCTTATTTTATTTTACAATACTCGAATATATATATATATATATATATATTTACATTTGGAAAAGAAATATATATATACTCAATAAAACATAGTTTTTCTTTATCAGAATATATATATATATATATATATATATATATATAGTCTAATTCATCTACAGACAAGAGATAAACATTCACCAATCACATTCGAAAGATTTGCGCATTCTTCGCTAAAAAGTAAAAAAACGCAGAGACAGTAAAGAGAACATACAATGAAGGACACTAGATTAAAAAATTATAAAATGGATGCTGCAGTATTATAAACATTGCTGACTTAGGACAGCTAATATATAAATTATATAAAAGTGGGGTTGAACATGTTTTTTGGCCCGCCAACCTTATATATATATATATATATCAGTAGCGCACACAAAAAATTTTCAAAGGGGGGGGGTCCAGGGTTGAAAGTCCACCATTTTGGTATCATGCTCCAATACGCCACCCAACATATTCTTTTGATTCTGTCGATTTTCGGGAACAAAAACAATACAAGATTAATATCATTGAATAAATAATTAGCATTAATTAATAAAATTAATTATTAATAACAAATACATAATAAAATTTTACGTAATATATACATAGGATTATAACTAATTGAAAAACGATCACGGGCTATAGGGGGTGCCCAGACCCCTAGGACATCCCCTTTGTGTGCGCCACTGATATATATATATATGTATATATATATATATATATATATATATATATATATATATATATATATATATATATATATATATATACCATGTTCAAATTTTTAATCGTTAATAAAATACTTTCGATTCATCCATTCAAGTTCAAATACATTTTTTAAAACTTGTATTAAATGACACTTGATGTTAATGCATTTTTTTTCAAATATTAATTCATTAATTAAATTAAAAAATAAATATATAGTAACAAACAAAAATGATAGTCCAGCAGCATATATAGAAAGGAAATCGTTGTGTTCCTTTAGCGCAATAGATAGCGCTTTGGACTTTTAATTCAAAGGTCGTGGTTTCGCATACACTTGGGATGGTCTAATTTCTGAGAATGTGAATTTTTTTTACTATACTATTCTATTAGAATAATTAAATTCAATTAATGAATAAACAATAAAAAAATAGTCCAACACCCTATATAGAATGGAAAATGCGAAATTGTAAGGAACATCGCTTTCTATTTTGTCACTTAATAGTGTTATTCTGTTATACACACATACATATTTATATGAATTGTAACTATTTAATAAAAAGTAACTAAAATAAAAATTTTCTTTGTTGACCTAAGTAGGAATTGACTTAAATTTTTTTTATATTACTTGTGTGTGTTTTTTACATGATGTAAGTAGAACAAATTTAGTAACATCGGCTTAGACATCCTTTATTTCGAAATAAGAATATTAAATCTGTTTTATAAGCAGCTATCTTTTAAATGCGAATTCTATTTCTTCATCAAGAGAGCACAGAAATTTCGCAAATATACGAAAACTGATTGGCTTGAAATTTAACTTTAAGAGATTATCCGGCTCTAATAACGGTAATCATCAAATAAAATCTACATTTTATTTCTATAGAAAGAAATCCAGCTTTTCTTAACGGTTTTTCATTTTGGTGGCATTAAGATTTTTGCAACACATTTTTTCAGGGGCATTTTCATTCATGCATTTAAAGTATTTTTATGATTCAAATTTTACTAGGAAGGTATGCGATTTTAAAACGTTATTTTTCATGACCTGACAAAAAAATAACTCATGTGCATTTAATGAACTATTTTAATGATCAACTCAATAATGTGCAGAAAGTATTGAGTTTATTTTTTAAATTACAAAGTAAACTAAGTTTTTGTCATCAAATGAAATTGGCATGGTTTCTTTAACAATAACCATTTCTCTCTCTCTCTCTCTCTCGTCAAAATTATGTTATTCAAATAATGATTTTAGTATATTTATGCATTACTTGATTTCCATCAGATAGTTTGCTTCTTCAACATGTTCTAGATGAAAGAAAAAATTCATATCAAGGAAACACAAGAGCATTAACAATTTAACCCGAAGTACCAGAAAAATTGACACTGATGCACGCATTAAAATAACAGAGAATTACAACCATTCATTAAGCTTAATTCATTCGACGTCATAGTCACATGACAACTGCAATCACGTGTTTCCAGCCAATCAATTCATATACTTCACTGCTGCCAACTTTTTTTTTTGCTGAAATTTTCTTTTAAAAGGTACATTTTTTTTCAACAAAAATATCACACATGGCAAATAAAATGAACGTGACTTAAAAGTACACGTATGTTATGAGAATTCTTTTTAATTTTGAAAAAAAAAATAAATAAGACTCGTAATGCTTGAATATTTTTATGCAGTTATCAAATTTGATGCTCAGTAGAAAGGGAGAATGAGAAGAAATTTTAGAGCTTTGCCACAATCATACTCTAACCTTCGTCGGGTCAATGGCTTAGTGACTCAAGAGCGCACGCGCGGCAAGAATGGCTGCGTGCTCATTGGCTTAATGGCGTCTACGATTTGTGGAAACGGGTTAAATTCATATGATGTCATAGCCACATGATAACTATAGACACGTGTTTCCAGAAATCAGTTCGTAAATTTATGTGACGTCATAGTCGCATGATAAATGCAATCACGTGTTTCCAGCCGATTAGTGAATGAGCTTCGCAGTTGCCAACTTTTATTTTTTGTAAGTAAAAAATAATAACGCACATAGGAAAATAAAATTCACTAGTTTTGAACGTAATAATGGACAAATTCATGACAGTTACATGATAAAGGCAAACACGTGTTCTACACAGAATTCAAAACTGACAAACTAGCTTGTACTTTTTTATTCCATTCGTAAAATTTAGACAAAATTTCAAATTTCATAATTTGGTAAAGATGTTCAACTGTTATAAAAAAAACTTCAAAAAAAATTTTTAAGTCAAAAAAGAATCTTATTTTATATATGTATTTTCTAAATAAAGTGACAAATATTACTTTTTTAAAAAAGTTTTTGAAAAAACGTAATTTCTCAACAACGAAGAGTATCATCTGATTAGCTGAAAATAGATGATTGTCTTTATCGTGACTATGACGTCACATGAGTTTTTGAACTGACTGGCTAGAAACACGTGGTTGCCGTTATTATGTGACTATGACGTCATATAAATTTAGCCCATTAAAGCACTTTTTTTTTAAATTTTGAAAAACATTTTTATGAATAAGCATTTGAACATCTTTTGCAAATAACCAGATTATAAATTTTACCTAAATTTTGCAAGAAGAACAGGCACAAGTCTAAAGTCAGTTTTAAATTCAATGGCGAGCACGTGATAGAATTTATTATGTGACCACCATAAATTTAACTCATTAACGTAATTCGATGATGTTTGGTAGTGGCCTATGTAATGCCTCATACAGTTTGGGTGGCTGTTACGTTTCTGCCTTACAATGGCAGGTTATTCGAATTTAAATGATTTTGAAAGAATATTAATAATCGGCGCGCGTGAAATTGACCACAACATTTCTAAAATAGTGATGAAATTGCAAATGCGAGACGTAAGTATCAAAGTCTCCTCTCCCCCTCCCCGAAAAACCAACTCTGCAAAACAGTTAACGGAGAACATTTGGGCCCCACCTGCAAAGTCAGGTTTTAGGCCCTCAAGATGGATTTTACAAAGGGTAGGCCCTTGGTGACAGTCAGGCTTTGGGCCCCCTGAAACCTTGAGCCTCCCCGCGATGGGAGGATGTACCTTACGCCACTACTGCAAAAGCAGAATAGACTGGAAAATATACAGAAAAAGTGGCACCAAAACGACTGACGGGAATTGTTTCACGAGATAGACATGCAACATTGCTTACAATTGCTGCAGATTTCAGTATTGGAGCATCGAGAAGTATCATCCTGCGAAAAGAACGAAAGTGCTTCCTTTACATGGGCTTTTAGAGTTGAAGCTTCATAGCGTACCTTTCAAGAATGCAAGGCACAAAGTTATGCCTTTCGCCAGCACTACCATTGGATTGTTGCTGACTGGAAACACGTGACTAAGTGTGACGATTCGAGTTTTCTATTATATCAAGTTGATGAACTTCTATAAATATGGAGAAAAAGAATCAAGCCATTAACGTTTTATGTCAACATGGTTCAATCTCATAAAGCACATCTGTGGTACGTAGTGTGCAGTGACGTCTTAAGATTTAATGAAGCCCTGTCATCCTATAATGAAGTAGGCCTCACCTGCAACCCTTTCAAGTAGTCATTATACAGCACGCATTGTCAAATAATCGTACAAACGGTAACACATAACAAATTAATGTGTGTGACTCACAATCTTCCAAACCTAGGTACAAACTGATTCGATCAACTGCCGCCTTTGCATAAAATGAGCGGTTGTAAGCATAAGCCTAAACGTAGAAGGCGGATTTGAAACTCTGCCTCTGTTGCCAGTTGGTATATAGTTCGAAATTCCCATGATTTTGGAGAATATGTTAGGGGATAACATTTGACGATTAAATTTATTCGAATCATGACCTTATAGATGCAAAATCGAGAACGAGATGAGTCTGCCCTTCTAAAGCCGAGGCCAAGGGAATGGACCTATTTGTTCATACCTTAAAATGTCTCTAGAAGCTTGTGTAATTGGCCTGATCAGGTAGCCATGATATGTCTGCAGACGACGATACTGGTAGATGACTGATACATAAGCATTCTAACTGATTACTTATCTTGTGTGCTTTCCGAATGATTGGACAATTCTTGTCGGACAATGTGATACTACACAAATTGGAAGTTGCTACCAAATGGCTTCGAGAATATTCATATGACTTCAGGAACTTTAATCAGCCCCCTAAATTTTCTGACAAGAATATTATTTAACATATTTGGAATGTTTAGTACAGTGCAGTACGAAATGAATCCCAATGACCTCAAAAACCTGCGGATTTGTAGAGTGCCTTGCAAGGATCATGTTATAAATTACCACGAGGATGCCTTCATATATTCGTAAAGTTTATGCTACATAATGCAGCAGTTCTACGTGCTTTAGATGTATGCTGCATGAAATTTAGTGGATATGTCAATTCTTTTTGTCACTTCAGTGTATAATAAATCTTGACTAATTATCTGAAATTATGATGAAAAGCTGAAATAAATATAACTCTTGCATAAATATTATTTCAATTTCAAGAGGTATAAGCAATTTCAAAAACTTTAAGAACATATATAGATTTCCATTTATTTTCAAATAAAAAAATGAAAGTACACTGAGAAAACACATGTTTTTAAATGTAAAAGCGTTTGTTTTAATTTTGTACTCAATCGTCTAGTATAAGATTTAGATATGCTTCAAAAAATTTATGTAAAACGAGTATAAGAGTTTCAATTTCTTCGAATTTGTGATTTATAAGATGAATCGCACTTTGATCAATGTTCGGAAAATTTAAATAAATTTGAATTTTTTTTATGGATTTATAATTATGTAAAGAAAATATGAAAATTATCTCAAACTCAAATTCAGGGGCGCAACAACACAAGAGGGCTAGGGCCTACTGTGCCCATTACAGTATACGTGACCTTGTGACAAATCTATACGGAACTTTATCACTAACCTTCTGAGTCGACCTTTTTAGGGAAATTTAATTCCCTACCTATTTCCAATCAACTCGAAAAAGCGGACAGGATTCCTTGTTATATGCAGATTAGATAAAGTATTTAAGTCAAACGAAATAGTAAAGTTAGAGCAGTAGGAGATAGAGATTGAAGCAGAAAGATATAGTGAAGTTAAATTGAAGATTTCTTGTTGGAGATAATTTATTCTCAAGAGGAGTTGAGATTCCGTTGGTAATTATTGATTAATAATTAAAGTCTCATTAAAGTTTTAAGAGTGAGATTAAAGATAAATGTTCAATAGGAACATTATTAAATATAATTCTGGGATCTCTTTTCGTGGTAATCTCTGCGTGATCGTTATTTAATTGTTAATTAATTTGATCATTAATTAAGTTAATTTAAAGGATATTATCTTTAAAACCT